TTTTTTTGGGGGGGGGGGGTGAGTAACTCCAAAATGGTGCAATCCATTTGAACTTCTGGTTTTGAAATTCAATTTGCTGAATATATCAGACTGTATAAATACAGAAATAATATATAGGACGATAGCAAGATGTTACAGAACTTTCCGAGAGCTTAGTTCAGAAATAATTTGTTTTTTTTATTAGCGTATGTACAGTTTGAAAAAAAAATATTCGTCTCGGATTTTTATTTTTGTGCTTTCGACAGACACGGCACGCTTTGTTACAAGAGCCAAAAGTATAATCTGCACGTGTCTACGTTCCGTACAGTGATAAAGTTTTCTTGTGAAATCGCGAGACGAACTTTCGCCCTTTGTGAATGGGACTTGAGGTAAGAAGGAATGTAGTCCATGGAAGAACGGCAGTTGATCACGTCGAGAGATTCCAGAAGGATCCGACGTGGTAAATAAAAGTTTGAATTTCGCGCGTCTCGGAACTCCCGTGAACACGTGACATGGTCAGAGTGTTTAACTCACTTACAAGGATGACGAATAAAACAGCGAAAGAGTCGGGGAGAGAGACGATCGAATATATATTTAACGAAAAAGTCTCGAGGTGTAACAAAGAGATGCAGGGCACGCGTATACCGAAGCGCTCGAGCGTGTGCGCATGCGCGTAGGAACTTTGTCAGTTAGAGAAGAAAAATGAATTATTTCCCGTAGCCTCTTAGAGGTACGTCGATAATATATCAAACCGCCGGCGGTCGCTGGAAGTAATTTATTAAAGAGAAGGTCGACATCTAAACTTTTCTCTAACCAACCCTCATATCCTCCTGCCCCTACCCCACGGTACCACTTTCTCCTTTCCATTCCCCTCTCCCGCCCCTCTTCGCCGTAAACCCCACAAGAATCACCTAAGAAACTGCTCCCGGGGGATTATCCGTTAAATCGGCTTTGCTTTCTTTATCGAAGCCTATACCTCCTTGGATTTAACGCCATCTAGAATTTCTCGTTAGGAACTAAAAGGCGCTGGACGAAATTCATACGCGCATCGCATCGTACGACAATAACGTCAATTGGAATAGAAACGAATATCAGAACGGCGTCGAGTAAGACGCCTAAACGTAATCTAGTAAATGGAAGCAATTTCGCGTCTAATGAAACCAGTGAGATATCCCAACCTAACCCAACCGTCTCTGACCTAGCCCAGCGCGGAGCCGATCGCAGTTGCAATTTCGAATGGGACAGAAGGCAGCGCCGCCCTCCCCGTCCGTACAGGAGTATAGTCCGGTACCGGTAACGCCAAGTGGAACTTCTCCTTCGTCCTGGCAACTTATTGCCGAACTTATTACGAGTTTAAGCTCCAGTCGTCGCGTTTTACCCACTAGTTATCGCGAGCGAATCCCGACGAAACTTTAAAATGCGATACTGCCGCCTTGGGACCACCGGTGTCGCGCAATAAGTACTCGCCTTTACCCTCCTACGAGTCCTGGACGCTCTCGTGCCGAGTTGCCAGAACTCTTCTGATGATCCTATGTGATATAAGACAGAGAAAAAAAAAGAAACAAATTCTCGATATCGCATCCCTCTGTTTCCTAATTATTCCCATCATTCTCGTCTCACCGGGTATGTTGGTACCACTGCGCCTTACTGTACCCAACCTTATACTTTCCCTTTGTTCTCTCGCGGCACATCTTTCACCGCCTACCAACCTACCCACGGAAGTAAGAAAAATTTAACTCCGAGAACCAGACAAAAATGGAATCTAAACGGATGAACCAGAAATCTTAGCGCTGTACCGGTAAAAGACTGTATCTCGGAATTGCGCTCGTTCCATCTATTTTATACGGCAAGGATTTTCCCTTTGTACGTAAAAGCATCGAGGTTATAGTAGGTATCTCATAAATTCATCGTACATCCATCCACCCTCATGGACATACGGCAACGTGTATATACATATTTATCTAGTGTGGCGCTGTCACTAAGAGAAAAAAAAACCCACATAGGTTACGTCACGTATAGAGTGGCCGGGATAACTTTTGTACACGACACCATTCCAGGGGGAGTTACCTCGCGACTTTTTTTCTTTCTTCATAAGTCGTCATCGACTAAATCGAAAATCAATTTCGTTAGCTGAGAATGAAAATGGATTATCGGATGGTAAAGGAATAAATTGACGAAAATATCGTCACTTCCGGTTCGAAACCACTCTAGCGTCGTAACGCATCGAAATCGTACTGATTGTGAAAAATGGATGACGTAAATTTTTTTTTTTCAAAATTTACCTATCCCTATCCTCGCTACGTTCTGGTTTTCGCTCGTCGTACGCCGTGAGGGTAAGACTTTACGATTCAACCCGCTCGATCGAGTCTCCGCGGTGAAATTATGCGAAGACCGTGATGGGATTACACGAGCACAATTACATAAGTGGTATCCCAAGTGCCTCGTGCCGTGAGAGCCACTCGAATTGGCCTTGCCGTTACTGCCGTCACGAGAGCCGCCCGCGCCACGCCTGCTACTCAATTATTATTGTCTGCTTCAAGTAGGATGATACGTCACATCCGCCATTGTTTCAATTCCACGAGCGACCACGTAATTCCCACTTCGGCGGCACTTCGGCTACGTCGTCGTTGGGTTCAAAGAAACCGGATGACGAGGGAGCCCGCACCTCGAGACGGTCGAAGACGGGAATTCTGGGTAACGGCTTCGTGCCGAGAAGGCACACACGCCCGACGGTATACGTAAGGTATAACCTGACCTGACCTCACTCGTCATTATCTTCAAGCTCAACGAGTTAACAATTAACCTTTCTTCAGATTTCTTTCGCAATTTCTTAAGCGAAATTCAAAATTATACTCGACTCACCTCATCGGCTTGAATAAAGCCTCCATGTTGTTCGCGTAGTCGATCACGAGCTTCAGCTGAGTGCCCCCTTCCTTTTGAACTGTAACGAGACAATGCGTTGTTGTTGTTATTATTATGATAGATATTTTTGATTATTTTTTCGTTTATTTGTTATCTATTTTTTTGTTGTTTTTTTTTCATCTGTTATCTATTTTTTCTTTCTTGGGGAGGAACTTGATTTTTTCTCGGCGTGAGTCACGTTACAGACGTTAGGGGAGAAAAGTTCAGTCTTGAATGTGTCGTTCATCCCCTATCGTATTCTAGTACTTGGGGTGGATCCTTTAACGGAAACCCATATGAATGATAACAACCTCAAGAACAACCGTAATCGTCCTTGAGGTCAATTTACGTTAAATTTTAGGAGGATGGCGGGGGGGGGGGTGGTTTACTTAAATTGGCAAACCTCTGATGGAAGATTTTCATAGACACGTGTCTGACTACATTTTCACTTAATTTCCTATGTCAACCGTCTCTCTGTGAGACTGACAGAATCGAGATTTACCTAAAATAGGAAATATTGATTCAACGTTAAAAACCGCTATTGATTGCATCCCGACCGCCGTCTCTTTGTACTTTGAAATGAATTCGGGTAAGATCGATTTTTATACCCGACGAAAATTGCATTTTTCTATAACACGGGTACAGAAAAAAAAAAGATTTGTTTAATAAAAAAAATATATCAAATTTCATTAAAATTACACGTGAATCCATAACTTGTAATTATCATCGAAGGAAGAATTAAAAAAAAAATTAAAATACACATAGAAATTAAGCCTTTGACACACGATTTCTATATAAATTAATTTTCCCAACAATGCATTCGATTTCTAAGGTTTCACAAATAAGCCGTACTATATATTATACTCACCTGTGTATACGATCTATAGTATATAATTCGGTATACGATGAGTATAGTATATATAGTCATGCGTACACAAGGGATGAGCCAGGCCTTTGTGTGAATGAAATTTAATAAGTCTTCCATCCCCCGCGGTGTTACCGACCATCCGTTATTTTCACTCACGTAACAAAAATGGCCTCGAGCAAGTCGCGTGCTCGTCCTGTATGTCGGCGTCCTCGTCCTTAGCGTTCAGCGTCGGTAAATTTATTAGGCGTTCGACTAATGCGACTTGTCGTAGGGATAGGGTATGCGTCAGTGTGAACAACCGACCTCTACGAAATACGTAGCAACCCCTGTCGGTAAGGTAGAGCGAGAGAGCTACGGGTCGGTAAAGATGTCTCGAACGTTAAAAATACGCTTGTAGAAACGTGTCTACGTATAAACATTGTGTCGAATCTTATCATTACTTTATCAATGGTAGATACCCATTTGACACGTCGCATCAACAAAGTACTCTGTTCCATTTATGTGTACGTAAAAAACCACAGACAATTTTTCTTTGACAAGAAATGGCCGACACTGTCAAGAACTTTGGACACGTCAGCGCTACTAATGGACGCGTTACTTATGTGAAAATGATTGGAAAAGAAAAGCAATGCTATAGTCCTGGTTTAACGTTATCTGTTATCAGATACTTAGGGGGGAAGGTGTACTTTACGAGGACACTGAGGGAGTAGATAATGGCTATGGGAAACCATAAGAAATTTGTAAGTAGTTTATATACGTATATATCGTTCGTTAGAGTTAGGTTAGGTTGCAGTGAACTTACCGACGTGAACTATGGGCTTGGTCGCCATTTCCTGAAGGACTTTATCGACGTAGATCGAATCCTTCGAATAGAGCTCGGTTCTCGATATCTCCAAGTGAAATCTCTCGAGGACGGTGCTGTTGTTTCTGATAAAAGAAATGATTAATTTTTTTAGTCTTTTTTTTCTTTCCTCTCACTACCCCACTCTCTCTATCACTGTCTCTTTCTCTCTCTTTCGTTCTCGCTAAAAGACAACACGAATTCCCGACGCAACTTCCCTACGAAATTACTCCTACGGGATCTACGTGCCAGCTCGTTACTATCCTCTCAAAATGCATAGCGTATCGCTCTGGTGCCGCGACCCTTCGCGAAAACAAAGCCAAGGTTAACCGGCTCGTGAGACCCATATGAGGGAGTAGGGTCGGCGGGGTCGCCGAAGGTTAGTAGAAGCGGGATCAAGGGGACAGGATCAAGGAGTGACCCGGCCGAAGTAAATCAAGCGAACCGGAAGTGAGTTAAGAAAGAGAAGAAAAGTGATAAAAACGACATAAATGATATAAAAAAAATAATAATAATAACGACAATAACAGCAAGTTAATTTTCAAAAATTTAACCTCTTTAAAAAAAAAATCGAAAAGCCTACCACGATCATGCGCCTGAACTGGGACTCATCCAACTATCCACACACTGGTACCAACTGCGCGGGTGATATAATTCACATCGTGTGAGAGCACCTTTTAAAATGCATAGAATAGCTCCCTGACGCCGGTCCCACGTTTTATATCCCCGCCGAAGAGCGGAGGATGTTAAGTAGGGATGCTGATAGGGTTTCCAGCTGGGGTTTCCCAAGGTGGTCGTGGATGAGTAAGGGGGTGGTTGGCAGTGCTATCTCTTCGTCATCCAGGGAAAGCAAGGACGAGCTTGAAGAGACGGTAGGAAGGGTTGCTGCTTGCAAGATCATGCGTCAGGGTTCACCCTTGTCCGTATGGGTAGGCGTGTACCTGGGGCAAAGTGTATCGTTCACGCGGAGGATCTACCCAGGGGCAAAACTACCCCTACACAAAATTGTTCAGTTCTTTTCGACCACGGCCGAAGCTCCATTTCAACCCCACACGTGTACCAGGCTCTATCCCACTACCCTGTTCTTCGTGGAGGCCGCATCCGGCTCCACCCCTCCGACACCTTCCCCGCCTCATCTGGTGGCTGGAGAGGGGTGGAAGATGGAGACGCGCGATACGCGACCTCGCCGTATGGGTTGCATACTAACCGCTTCACGGGTCGACACTAAATCTTTGCGAATTATCCGGAGAGGAAGGAGCCACCCTTACGCTGTGGCAGACGGCAAGGATACTTGAGTCCGTATACCTATATGGCGTAAGGGTGTCACATCCTAATGAAATATTGTCGGGTTCGCACTACCCACCCTTATAACTAGTTCCTCTCGTATGTTTTCAACATCCCCCATGCACACCGGTACACAGGGAGCTCTTAATAGGATACGAGATGTTTTTAGTGGAGGATTTAGAAAATGAAAAAAAATTTTTTTTTTTTGAAAAAATTTTTTTTATCATCTTATCCAAGATACTTTACGCGCTCTACTGCGAAGGGCATGATATCGTAGCTTTTGGGCATAGGTTGGATTAGCTTCGTGCGCCAAGTACACAGTTGATCTTGTATAATTTTGTTTTATCCCACCGTTTCGTAAAATTTACTAAATTCTCCGCGAAATTTTATCATCCACTTTTGGATTGGGGCGGGGAGGGTGGGAGGGGGTGGATTTGCGAAAAAAAAATGTTTTCGAAGTATCTGCTTTGTTTTTCTTCCTTACTTACCTCCTTGGCTGTGTATACCGAGGATTTAGGGACGCAAGATTTTACGGGGACCTTCGAGGATTATCCTTCAGGTGACGATGAAATTGTCGACAGGATTCTCGATAAAAGTTGCAGAACCTCGGAGGAACTTTAAAGGCGGCCGACAAATCCGCGTTCCGCTATGTTGCCTTTCAAGTCTTCCTTTCAACCTTCGACATCTTCATTTTACTCTCATACCCGTGAAAGAACCGACGCCGACCCCCCCACCCCTCTTCCTAGCAAACGATCCTTTATCGATACGCGTGTATATTTTTATACTGATAAAATATCGCCAGGGATCGTCCTCCACCGTATGTATCCATAACGGAGATACGCGGGATTTCGAAATACAGCATCCAAAGGAGAATCTCGGTCCAGGACAATCGGACAGATTTGACATATGACGGTCTTTCCCGTGAAATCTCTCCGACATCAAACGAATATTCGTACAAATATATTCCCGGACCTACGAAACATCAGCAGCATCCCTTCGAAATCTTTTTTGAGGATGCACAAATTTTTTTTCAAAACCAAAAAAAATTTTCCGATAATTCGAAAAAAAAAATTTCAAGAGGGACGTTTTGTTTTTTTTTCGTGTAAATTTTCATGCCGACATTATTTCACGGTGCCACCTGTAGCACGCGAATGAAAATGGAGAGAAGAAATTTTCAGGATAATTTTTTTTTTGTTTTCAGGTAATAACAATGAGTATCGAGGTATCGTCCCTGTCGAAAGAAACGTGACGTGCGAGTTAGATGGGGGAATTAATAGCTAATACCGGGTACGGAGGCAGGTACGTACTGCTGCGGGGGCCAATGGGTGCAAATCAGAAGCGGCTTTGTCGCTAACTAAATTGGGTAATTCACGACGAGTCGCCGGATGTCACCGAGCGCTTCCAAAATGGCTGCTTTTATTAAAATTCATCCGGCATCCTCTCAGATCGTATACCGTGCCCACTTTACTCTCCCCCGCCAACTCTTTCTCTCTCACTAGAAAATCTCAGCATTCCTACAATCCCATCTGCACGAATAACCATATACGCCATAGCGACCCTCCCGGCACGACGACCACGATTTTCGTCGATATACGGACCGACGTGTTTTCATTAAAGCTCCATCCACCTGTTAAATAAATCATTATGATAATTACGAGCTCATAAATGCATTCCCGACGCGAAGATGCTTCGCAGATAATTATCGATATGACGTAATACGAAAATTTCGAAAAAAATAGTCAACGTCGAACCAACGAAAGCAAATGCTGTTCCTTTGACAGGAAAAAAAAAGGTACCCGGAGAACGAAGAAATTTTTTTTTTTTTCAATTTACAAAATGTGCCAATGCGCCGCACAGTGCACGGAACGCGTACCTCGTTAGAATTAAACGCGACTCCCTTCACGTACCGTGCACGCTGTATGTAGTATAATAATAACAACACACTAACTCCACGCTTTAGCCCCAAATGTTAATTCCACTTGTGTGTAAATTTGCATGCAGGTTTATTATGTGCATCGCACCATAAGCAGCCTATAGGCTCCAACCGGGTGATCGTTAACGCGTGTGTTCAGTGATTCTAATATGGAACGAGAGTGAAAAAGAGATAGAATAAAAAAAAATTGATTAATTAATTAACACCTCTGCAGCATCAATTACTGGTATAATAATAATAATAATCAATAAAAAAAAAACTGCCGGAGGATCCACCCGAAATGCAATGGAATAGTAAAAAAAAAGTCCATTTCGTCTCCCTTCGTCTCTTAAAAAAAAAAAAATTAACACGAAACGAGAAACTCCGAGAAAGTCCTTATCAGGACGAAGGAAACCCCAAGCGGTAAGATAGCGCCGTTTTACATTCGGACATTACCGAACGTATAAGGTAGGGAAAAAAAAGAAGGCAGTGGGGGAAAAATAAACAGGAAAAAAAGATATAATGAAAATGAACTAGAGGTTAGGTCGTTCCAGTATGCGAGAGAGAGAGAGAGAGAGAAAAAAAAGAGTATCAACACAGTGAAATCCTTTCTTTAAAATTTATTCTTTCCGGACGTCGCCTCAATTTCTCTATCTGCATTTTATTACGGGCCACTACCCGTCTCTACCTTTTCATTCCCCCCCTCCCCCCTATTTATAAACGACAAGACGCCCGGCGTCGTCCCCGACGCTTGGCCGCACCGTACCCAGCCCGTTCCCATAACTATTTCCCGGACGGCGGTTGGCTAGCCTGTCGAGTAGACGGAAAGAAACGACATGGATTCTGGGTAATATGAGGGAGTAAAGTAAAGCAGAGGATTCTGGGTAGTCGAGTGGTTTGCGGGTGGCAATGTATATTAAGGTAAGATATCTCCAGTCAACCAAGGAGCTACGGCAAATGAAGTTGGCCTGATTAGGGAATTGTCTGATTAGCCTAGGACCTCGTCATCCTACGCCACAAAACCCGTCCCGCTTCGTTCCGTGATCCTAACCTATAAGTTCAACTGCCGGCTCCGTCCCATCCCCCACGAGTAAAATTTCCACGGTGTCCTTACGGGCTTGGGGAAGCGTGCAAACTGCAAACCGAATCTACCCGCTTAGATTGAGTTCCTTGTGGTATGCCTGCGTCTGGAATTAATTTTCTACCGGAAAGGAATTGCCCGAGAACGTGCTTATACGGTACCCAGGAAGATTAATGGAAACGTGCCAAAAAGTCAATTAGAATAATTGATTACGAAGAATATGACTTTTTTAAATAAAAAATATTGTAAAAAAGTATGTAAAAAAAATTCTGCGCGAGATATAGGCACGATGAGCCCTTATAACAAGACCAATTGGTACGAAGGAACACTTTGATCCATAGAAAGCGTACTTGCTCGTATATTTGTGCAAAGGCGAATATCAAAAGGATATTCAAGCGACGGGTATACCGTGCTGTAGTCGGAGTGGGAATTAAGGCGGCGTTTTTATAAAACGTCGGCGACGCGTATCGAGTGTCACGGGCAATAACGTTTATGAGGAAACGATACGGAGCGAAGGTTGGGTATTGGAAATATTGGAGTAAATTAAACCGTCTGCAATTTAACGTTATCGGATGGGAACAATGATTGAAGTCGATGTTTGTCGCAAGAATTTATATGTATTAAGTCTTGTATGTGTATATTTAGCTGTCAGGACAATTGTTTGATTTCCCTCTGGAACTACTCCATGAAAGAAGCAGGGAGCAGTATTGTGTTTCTTTAGTTAATTTCATTAATTTCCGGCTCGCCGGGAGACTCTTATCGTAGAGCGTGCGTATCGTGTTACGTCGGCCATATTGTTACGATTCGAC